ATTTTTAGTGGTGACACACATTTATATAACATTGATATTCTACCAGACATTAATTCTAGCAGATAATATCCTAACATTTATAACCAAGTCCATCCGTAGGGAAGTCGTTGTTGACAGACATTAACTCTTGATTTCTTTACATGGTCTTATGCCTGAAATATTTATCATATGGTCATCTGATTTATAGTAACTAATCTGGCCCATTTAAACCTACATATGCCTAGTAGGCTTCATTTAGTAGGCTTCATTACTGCTTTGACCATTTCAATTTTCCCTTGGTACATGCTTCTCACTTTATGTATATGACCTTGAAAGACGAGGAGCTTCTCTTTTAATACTGGCATCATCAGCGGCCTAGCTTTGGACTAGGTCATATCATCCCTTCAGGTTCCTTCCCAGTAATTATAGAGATTCCCTTTCGACATGAGATTTTCATCATCTGGCATAAATTTGTTTCAGTTTTCAGCCATGGTTTCACTTTTGACATGCTGATACTTTGTAACTAATAAACATGTTCTTTGAGGAATTTCCAAGCCTTGGAGTTCTGCTTTATTCGTCTCTGTCAGTTGGAACCATGACACCATATTCATATAATTTTCTTCACAGTAGTAGTGGTTTGCCATTGCCTTCTACCAAGTTTGATTTTGGAATTCATTCTTCTGAATGGATTGGCTGTCATCTCATCTGCAGGGCCCCATCTTCCCTCATGCCTGTCATGCATTATCTTAACCTCCTTTTCAGCCAAGATCACCCTACCAAGAGTTCCAAATCCACCAGCATTACTTTCAGATAACATGAAAGTTACCAAGCCATCCCATCATGTCAAGTTTCTAATTCACAATAGACATAACTGAGCTTATCGCTCTGTAATATTAAGTATGATATTGTAAGGTTTCTTGGCATGTCTCCTAAAATACAAATTTTATTTTAGACTGCATCATCTGCTTTACTGAATCCCAAATCATAGATGAAGATTTTAGGAGTCTTTTAAAAAGATAGTCAGTATTCTTAAAATATGCATCCACAGTGATGGTGCAAATAATCTCTTGATCGAGCTATGATTGCTCATTAGTGAAAAAGCACAAATGAAATGAGTCAACTGATGGGACAACTCTCATCCAATTTTTAGCTATTCTAGTGATTATCCCTTAAAATGTTCCATTCCTTCAAAATTAGTTTTTGATATTCATTTCACTTCATAAAAACTCTTCTCCCAAATCAAAAGGGTCATGGACTTTGGCCCCTCTCCATCTGGTGACATCATGATGCTCACATCTGTTGATACTTGGAAACCACACAATATTGATATTTTGAAGTGTGGTCCTGATCTTAAAAGTAGGTGCCCACCTGTTTATTTTTTCAAAGCGTCACACTGTTCTATCCCCAAGCGTTTCCTCATTCTTAGAGTAGATAAATTATTTTTTATATTGTGCTGTTTTGAAGCATTATGCTTTCTAATACAGCTGTGCAATGCTTTGTGTTTTATTGCCATGCCAACTTAAGAAAATATGCAGCTGCTTTAAAGCATGCAAAGAGATAGTGCATTCTCACTCCCAAAGGTTTTTGGGAATCTAATTCAAAGCATGGTGCAGACCTAGTATATTAAACCTTTTACAATTGAGCATATAATGCTCAGTTTGGTTTCATTTTTAAAAAATATCTTATATTTTGTATTTACAGAATTTGCAAGAGATTAGAGGCAGAGGCATGGGGAGATGTACATAATTCCATGCTTTTGATTTTTTTTTCATTTTCTCTTTGCAAACACAAACAAACAAAATATAATAGAAACCAATAAACCTGAATGTGACCTCCATTATATTTTGAAGAATTACAGGAGTCAAATGTTATATAAAGAGAAAAATAATAATATCCCTTATTAAGAAGATAATCATTGTCCTTTGTATTTTTCCTCTACTGATATAACTCAGATTCACTAATATTATGACAAGTTTTGAAGCTCAGGCCTCACTCACCGAAATCATCTGGATATAACAGGATTTGATATTTGAGCTTTTCTGGCTCCCTCAGGATCATTTCTTACTTACTTCCTGAGTTGGGCAGCCGTTGTTGCTAAATCAGAAATTGAGAATTGTGAGTTAAGAAAAATGGGCACAGGCCAGTGGTGGGATTCAGCCAGTTCACACCACTTCGGCAGAACTGGTAGCTAATTTTTTGTTGCCCAGGCCCAGAATGGACTTCCGGAAGTGGCATCCACACAGAGAACCGGTTGTTCATATATTTGAATCCCACCACTGGCACAGGCCATTGCTTATTGGTTCTGATGTACTGTAATATCTAGATTCCTTTCTTGAATTGGGAATTCAAGTGAGAATCAAGGGGGTGGAGGATATATGTTGGGCATCATGAAGTCATTTTACAAGATGTCCAGATATCTTTTTTAAAATCATTTTAAAGAGACTGAAATTTCCAGGATCAAACATGGCTTAAGAGTTCAATTGTCTTGGCATAGTTCATATGCTGTCTTAAGAAATAAGCACATAATACTCAACTTGTAAAAGTGCCATCTTTCCTCTTCTTCTGGAGGATTAAATGAATCAATTTTATTAAAAACCATGTATTATTTATTAAATGTAATTATTCATATCCTACCAAATGCCCACAAGCTTCCTTGTCTTGGCCCCTTTTATATGTTGTGATTTAATTGCTCTCTTCTGTGATAGAAGTCCAGATTAAGTGGCTTTTTTAATATATTTTTGTGAAAAATTAAAATTCTCCATGACAATTTACAAAATGTCATTTCCTTCTAAAAAATGGCAATACATGCACAAACTTTCTCAAAATCCAAGTATTACTTTTTGGCTGGAGGAAAATATTAACACAAATGTAAATGATAGAGTAAAAAATGAAGCAATCTATATTTGCAAGCAGGTCAACACAGAAAACGTAGGTCTGAGATTGGCATTTTTTTCAGGTGGCAGGGGCCATCAAACAATTTTACATAATGACACAAATCACAGGAAAAGTAGAATTAAAATCATCAATTTTTCACAAATTCCTCCAATCTCGTGACATTTTGGCAATCTCACTATGAAATCTGCGGAGATTTTGTCATTTGCATCTAAGATCTCATGATATTTCAATATTCTCACCTTACAAATCTTACAAGATTTTGAAGACCATTATACTCTCTAGTGAATTAGCAATCCCACTGAAATTTAAACTTTTACATTAAATTTTAGTTTTGCATTAAAAGTGTGGTTGCTTGGATATTCCCTGGAAATGTTACAAACTCAGTGCTGTTGCCAGTTGTCATTAGATTTTGAATACAGTTATAGTAAAGTTAATGAGCATCAGGTACTTGGCACTATCCATTTATAACTGCTTGATCCAACAGACTTCAATTTAAAAAAACAAAAAGCCAGATAGAAATAGATATTGTTAAAACTCAGTTTGCTAATTTGGTAAGGTACAATATAATGCCATGCCAGGCTATTTCTGTATGATCATGTTCTTTCAGATAATTGTAAAGATAAATGTAAAATACAGTAGTTAATTCCTAAATAAACTATAGAGTCAATATAACAGGTATAAACTACAGGATTGTAAGAATCAAAAGTGATTTGTCCACCAATTTTACTTACTGCACAAAGTAGTAAGTAGGATCAGATCACCTATCCCTAAAATTATATAACAGGAATAAGAAAGCAGATCAACTTAGGAAGAAACATTATTATTACTATTTTTATCAAATTTACTTTGCCACCCATCTCACAGTTCAAGGCATCCTAATGTTATTTGTATATGTTATGCTCTTTAAAAAATTTAAGTCTCAGAAAGTTTTCAAATTATTTACTGATGAATACATTTGATTGTTACATGGTCTCTTTTAAATGAGATTGATTTTTACTAATTACCCGTTATGAATCAATGAAACTACAGACTGTGTTGGACAAGTCTGAGCATTAAATTCTAGCATAAGAACAGAATATATTAGGCTCCAACAATTTTCTCTTTAGTTTAAACTGTGTAGAGACACCTCTATGTCTAGCCAGCTATCTTATGTAATAAGCATTGTGCAACTGAGAGTTTGAATGATGCAATTATAGTGTGTCAGTTCCTCTGAAAAGGTTACTTTTACATAAGTGATTCCTTCTTGGCCACAGTGAATTATGCCATATGTCACCTATATTCTTAATATACTAATTTGCACTTTAATAAAAAATTTTAAAAGAGCACTTTAAATTGCTTTGAGATTGTGAAGCAAGTCACACAGAGGAAACAAAGTCAGCTCTCTTTAAAAACATGCAGATGGAAACATGTTTACAAGCCATTTTTAATCATGTGCCATGTATATTTGTTTTTCCAATCTCATTTGATTATCCAGAGATTTCCAGCATCCTCTGCTGCCATAGAAATATGCAGGGCGGGGCGGGGGGGGAGGGAGAAGAACCATCAGTCAACTTCTCGGCACATGGATTTTTACAGTGGAAAAAAAAATCTATGTTCTGCTATCACATTTTCATTGCATGCTATGTGTGTCTGCATAAAATGAGTGCCACTGTTTTGTATATACGGAAATGGAAACGTAAGGATAAGTTTGTTCAAAATTCACACTGGGAAAAAAAAAGTAAGACAACAAAGCTAGAAGTTACTCCAATACCGCGATCTGAATCATCGTGAGTGCCAGCCTCAGAAAATGTTGTGAGTTCTAGGCAGCTAGATGAGAAACAGATCACTTGGGTGCCAGCTTCCATCCTACTAGATATAATCACGTTTTTAATTACAGACGTCTGCTTACAAAGTTAGGAGCCATGTTTCTAGCAAGCTAACATTCTCTTTTTTCTGTTTTCCCCCCATTAACATTTTTTTTCTTTAAACAAGAGTGCCCTGCACTTCACCAAGCTACCCAGGACAAATGTGCTCCTTTTTCCCCTCCCCTATACCGTTACCACCTAGTTTTGGAACTCTACCGAGAAATTTCATGTCAACGAAAGCATGCTTAGTGTTTCAATAGCCTTCTGCTTATATGTTTGAAGATTCGAAACTGAATGGGGAGGTGGCCAAGGCAGCGCTGGCAAATGAAGACTGTCCCCACATAGACCAGGCTATGTCGCCTGAGGAAGCTCTGCCATTTACCCGTTCTGGCACTCGGGAGAGATATGGACCTTGCTTCCTCTTATCAACCGGGGAATATCCCTGCCCGCCTGATGGAGGAATAAGAAAGGGTATGTAGATAAGGTCCGCTAATCACATAGATAGTAAGATAGTTTAAGATATGATTTATTGAACAGTGTTAAGTTTGTTTGAGAATATTGGTTTCTTGCACTGAAAGTAACAGCCAGACATCTTAATCCATTCATCAGATAAGAAATGGCGATGGCTGAAATTTGCACTTGCAATTTGCAATTATTTGAAGATAATTCTACCTGATAAGGATGTCCAAGGTGTTCTTTTATTGTGAATTATGACCTTAGTAGTTATACGACTCCACTTCAGATTTTTTCCCCCCATACTGTTGTTATTATGGCAGTACTGGGCCAGCCTGGTGCCCACTCTTTCATCACCACAGATATTTTCAGCCCTACAATTTTGCTGTTAGTTCCTTCTTTAACTCTTCTTTCCCATAAGGTTTGCAGAGGCAAGAAGGAAGCTTCTTTGTGGCAAATGCAGTTCTTTGCAGAGGGAAAGTGGTCATTAAAATATTTCTTTACCATTTCTCCTGGCAGAAGCTCATGTCCCTAATGGATCCTAGTTTGTAAACCACCAAGTTAAGAAAAACTCCATCATTAAACAGGCTAGTCATCAAGAGACAGTATCTCTTCCTGCTTATTCCTGAAACACTTGGAAATATTACATTGTTGAAGTTAGTAATTAGTAGCTAATTGGACAATGCAGGCATATTCTATTATTTGTCCACCTCTGGTGAAAATTCCTAGTTTGATTAAAAAGGCATAAATGCTTTATAGTTCAGAACAATAGCCACTTTTCTCATACTAGCATCAAAATTCTACCACCATTTTATGCTCCCGTGTTCAGTTGTATTAACTGATGTTGAATTTTTATTTTTTTACTGCAGTTTATTCCTGAGCTTCCCAAATATTTCTTACAATATTGTCTGCACATGTGAAAGGAAAATAAGCAAATGGTGGCATACTTAATCTAAATCCATGAGAATTAAAATCTCAATTTTGTTAAGGTTCCACATTAACAAGTTGCATATTTAGAAAAAAATGTATTTTCTTCATTTAAGAAAACATAGACAAAGGCTCCATTGTGGCCATGGTGCTTCAAATGAGCAGTTCCCTCATATTGAACAGAATATTGAATGGTATATTCAGTTAAGTAAATGCAGAACCTCGACTTGTATTTTGGGTGATTATGACAAAAAAAAACCTTGTGGATTGTAGCCGCAGAGTATAATAATATTTCTACAGACACTGCAAAAATTACAGAGTGTGGCATAAATCAGTACTTTATTAAACCTGTAGGATGCATTGCATGTTGGCAGGGGGAAAAAAGGGACAGCTATAGAGTATACATGATTATAATTTCAAAGTTTAGTAATGATAAGATATAGCAGGATCATTGTACTTTCATATGAAAGTTTTTGCTTAAGTTTACCTTGGTAGCAAAGTGTTTTATACCCGATTTTATACTGGATACACATTGGTCATTTTCATTCAGCTTGAGCCCTGGTTCTTGGTTCAGTGCTTTGGGAGCTGGCTTCTAAACAGTTCCTCTTTTAGGATGACAAATGGACAATTCTCCCAAAGCCACTGAAAGAATGAGACTCCACCCAGTTGACTGAAAGGATGGAGCCAACTGGCCATAAATGTCAGCATATTGTTGGCCTGTGTTGGGGAGGGTGGGGGAATATATCAGGGACACCTTTAGTGTTTCTACAGAGTTTCATTCCATGGATTGCATAACAATGCCTCTGATTTGCTGAGCTGTTTGATGCATGACTAAAAAACTGGCAGAAGGAAGAGGAAACCAAATGCATGCAAAAATGCTGGTAAACAAATTGAGTAGTATCTCTATAGCAACAGAACTATAAATGCTTTTGATGGAGGGGGTGGGGAGATAGAGACATTTTTAGTATCAGATAATACAGTATGAAATGCCAAAAGTTCAGTACAATCACATAAAACATAGTGACTTGCTAGTATTACAGTTTCTCTATGACAGATTGAGGGTTTGCATTTATTTATTTCCAGCCCCTCTATAGCTCTCTCTATATCATAGCAGGGGGACCACTGAAACATAGGAATGTTTTTCCTCCACCATTTCCAGCCAAGGCCATGTTGCAAGGGATACTACTCTTGGCATGTCAAAGCATGAAGGATGCTGCTGCGATCAGGCTGTACTTTATTGGGTTTGCCCATTCTGATGTTGATCCAATACTCTATGTTTTTGCCTTTTTTTCCTTTTAAAACAAGGTTTTGAAATGTTATAAGCCTTAACAGCTTAGTTTGCAGACATGGAAAAATGGTAGAAAGATCCTTCAAGCCTGGAATTCTTCGAACTTCATGAGACATTCTTGGTCTCCCATTCCATAGCATGGATCAGTAGCAAAGAATAGTCTTCTAGATTCTAGTATTCTAATCATAATAAAGCTAATAAAAAGAGGGGAAAGAAAAGCAATGATTTCTCATTAGCTTGTGTGGTGTCACTTGTAAGCAGATCCTGATGTTTGAAAGTATCATGGCTTTTGATGGCATCTCATGGAGTTGATGTTACTACTGGTGTTAGTAACACTTATCTTGACCAGATCCTTCACCACGTAGAGCTAAATTGACACTATTAGTTGCTCTGGCAGGCCATAACACTGCATGTTATTGATACATAAGATGCTACGCTGGAGGCACCACATAGTTTCTTGTGGTGGTGCACCCCATCCTGGTATGTGCTTTTCTCAGCTAATGGTAGATCCACTGGCTTTTGGAAGTGGGTTAGATTGTCATATAGTCCAGTGCTGAAACTTGCCAATGACTAAAGATTTTTGCTTTTCTCAGGATATTGTTGAGCCATAGGAACCGTACAAGAGTATGAGCGAAATACAAGCAGTAGGACAAAACTTTGCATGGTGTCTCTTCTATGTTGAAAGCAATAAGATACACTGTAGAGAGGTCTCTAGCTGGCTGGCTGACTGCATGGGAAAAAAATATTGGCGGAGAAGAAAATTGGCTGCCTCTGCATGTAGCTCTTTCTCCTTTCTCCTCCTTGCTATAAAACACCCAGCTTGGTTTGAAAAGCACAGGAGAGAAGCTCAAGTATTGATTATATTCTTTACATGCAGATCTTTGCAAAGAAAGTCCTGTCATTGCTAAATATATGCCAACAGAGGCAGTCAAAGTGACTTGACATGGAGAAAACGAGATGGACAATGATGGCTTATAAACGTCTGGGTGGAACTATGCAGGCATAGAAGACCTCTTCTTTGGACAAATGTAATCTCCCTCCATGCAAGTTTGCAGGATGATATATGTGGTTTCAAAAAGGGAGATATGCAGGATTTCTCTATGGCCAGAATGTAACAAATGGCAGATTTTTTTTCGTTGTTGTTGTTTCATAGCATGAATTGCATGGGAAAAAAAAAGAAAATCCCTGAGATTGTACAAGTTAACTTACTTTACTATTAAAGGGGTGTTTTGGGGAGAGGGTGGGGAGATAAAGTAATATATTTTCCTTCAAAGCTCTTTACTTTTACATATGTTGTGGTAGCAAACTGTAAAGATATTCTAAAGCCGTACATTCCTTTGCAATGGATTGTTTATTTGTATACACGATCACAAGAGTGGATGGTTTAAAAAGTGCAATTGGCAGTCACATTGACCATGCCTTCATAAGTTCATCACGCAGGACATGAAAATCAAGAACTTTTCATCCAACTAGACTTGTGTAAAATGTACGAACAATCTTCTTTTCTTGTCTGTTTTTGTTGGCATGCTTGTGAAATCTGGGACCAGTTTTTGAACCTGATGGAAACAGCTGGTCTAAACTAATTTTCCAGCTCTGTACTTTATTGGTGTATAGATCCAGTGTGAAGACCCTTTATGACAAATTGTTTATATTAAGTGATCAGTAAAGAATTCAACCAAAAAGAAACCAACATTGTTTTTTTTAAAAGCAACAACAACACCTGGGGATTTACAATATACAAATCAGGAAACTACTTCAATATAAACTTATCTCGGAGTTTCAAGAAACAACAAAATGGCACTGTATGCAATTTAGAATTCCGAATAAAATGCATGCACAAGGTTATGCAAAATAATTCTAGCATGAAATAAATTTTGTATGATGGTTTCGATGCCTGCTGTATAGTGTAAATCAGAATTCCTTTCTGAAATGTCCAGAACTTCCCAAAGAAATGCTTTTGAAATTGTAAATAAATACCATACAAAGATTCCCAATGGAACTATAAGAGGGAAAAAGCTTTGGTTATGCTTTGCTTATAAGTTGGTGAACTGGTGAGAGTCTGAGGAAGTCACCTCCTGAATCCTTGATACAACTGATGTCTTCAGTCTTCACAACACTAATAAATATTTCCATAATTGAATAGATAAAGCCTACAGAGTTTGGTAGATTTCACTCTATTTCTCCTTTCTCGATTAATAATAAAAGTTTGGCTTATTTAGTTGATCATGTGAATTCAGTTTTTGTTACTACTGTGGTTCTCTTAACAGCTGATAGTACTTAGAAAGTTGTAGAATTAGATACCTTTTAATCATACTAAATGACGTTTTAAATTACCTAACATTAAAGGTAGTCATGGAGTTTTGAATCATACCATTTAGAATTTTCATCATAAATTTGCTTATAGCTAAACCACTGAAGCAAAACATTACAGTTTCATCACATCATAAGACTTAACTACTTCCTAGGAAGAAGCTAAGGCTATTGATGATGATGATGATGATGATGGTGGTGGTGGTGGTGGTGATGATGATGATGATGATGGTGATGACGATGGTGATGAGAAAACTTAGGAGTGAAGTATTTCATAGAATAAACATAAGAAGAAAAACACAAGACAGTAGCAATAAGACTTACATGAATATACAAGATGCTTTACTTTTCCTTATCTCACTTCAAAAATTCTTTCCATTCCTTGAAACAAAAAAGGCAGGGGAAAAAAATCCAAAAGAACATAACTTTCTTATCCTTGAAAGTTTAGGTCAGTATATTTAATAAGAAAAGTGAGGCATCTAATGTAATAATTAGTATATGTAATCCACATTTCTAAATAGTTTTTATAGAAGGCATTTATCCATAAAACATTTATTCATATATAGGAATGTATATGTACGTTCTTCAGAATATTGTATAAACTGATAAGGCATGGATACTGCAGTATCAGGATTTAATCTAATAATTTACATTGCTATCATAAAAACTCATATGTGCCTTTGTTTTTGTGTTCGTTTCCCAAACATCAGTATATAGTATAATATCAGAGCACATGAGAATCTGTATAAATCTTCAATTTCCAGAACAATAATTATTCTGTGATGTAAGTCTAAAAGGGAATTACTTGAATATAGTATCACATGAATCAGTGTGGTACTTTGAGCATATGTCCAGCAAGTAACTGAACCAATTAATTTTTTCACTAAATGGACACAAAGATGTCAAATAAACATAAAATCTTATGAAAATAATCATAATATGACATCAGTTTAAAAATGTGACATAAATGCCAACTTGGATGTCTCTTGTCATTTTTTTTCACATACTGGAAATCTCTTGAATATCTGCCTTTTAAAAACCATTTACAACTAGTTATTATAGCCTTATTATTTTTCAAAGAACATGACTTTCATGGCAAAGAATTCAACACAGTCCACTAAAATTTGCCATTAAAGCAGGCTGGTTGTCTAATAAAGTTCTATTTGAAAGCTAAACTTTAAAGGAAGCAATCTTGTACTACCTAGGACAGCGACCAAAATCTCCTTGAGGAGTAGCAGAGGCTATTCCCAGAGGCAGTCTGTAGAATTGCAGAGCTCTAAAGCTTTCTTATTCTTCATCCATATCCTCAAAAGGGTCTCCAAAACTACATCAGCCCTGAGAGAGGGACAGAGCATGGTCTCTGCAATCAATGGGATGGAGAAGCAGCTAACTTTGAGCATAGAGGGCTTGTAAATGCCTTTCCCATTTTCCTTGGTATCTTTTTAAACCCCCTTTGTTGTTGGAAGTGGCAAAAGATTCTAGAGCAGGTGTTGATGTTTAGGGTTGTATGTTTTTCAATCTCTCTGAAGCTCACCCTGGAAAAAGACTCATAGGAAGATTCCTCCCACACACACACACACTGCTGTATTCCCTCTGGATTCAATGAAAGTGGGAGGTGGAAAACTGCTGAAGACATGATTGTACATGGAAAGATAGCATCTTTCATAGGCCCCTTGGCTACCTGGCAACTGAGTATGTACTAGAAAACCATACTACACCAATGGACATTTTGCTGAAACTTTCATTGGAAAGTAATTTCCAAAATAATTCCAAACTAAGTTCTTTTTCATCAAATTTGGTGATACCGAGATGTTTTGTCTCATATCTCTTTTGACATATGTGTCAAACTATAATTTTATATCCATTTAAAGGGATCTACTCTTATTTAGCATTAGTCAGATTGCTTTTTTTTTTCCACCAGAGAGTGAGATAAGATATGGAAGGAAGTGGATTTTTGTATGTCAGCCTACATTTTATTGGTCTTGATGAAGGGAGAAGTCATATGACTTATATATGACTTCTCCCTTCATCAAGACCAGTAAAATTTCTTCATTTTCTTCATGAAGAGATTTTAGGCTGAAATGTTAGAGAAGGTGATGTTGCTGAAATTTTATCTCATCTTTTATCTATTAGCAAATCATAAAACCTCACAATTCAATCTTAATCAACAAAAGTCCATTAACAGCTACCAGAAATAAATATAAATACATATTTAAACTTAAACAAGTAAATCAATTTCATATTCCTTTCATTTATTTTAGCCAGTAATTTAGCATTTTCTGTAATAATACAAGAAACCATTTCTTTCTATATCTTATATCATAATTCTAAATAAATCTTTAAAGCTTCATCATCAAAATTCATTTAAAAAATTCATTAAAAGCTACCCGAAACAAAATATTGAAATTTAATCCCATCAAATAATGTCCTACAAATTTCTTATCACCTATTCATCTCCTCTCAGAAACTCCTTCACAAGTTTAACACATTCCTTCCATTTTAATACCATAGCTTATCACTTTCTCTAAAAATACAACAAAAAATAATCCATTCTTTCCGTG